ACGACCATTACGACGACGACGGCGACGACGCCGCGTCCCAGGACACGAGCGAGAACGAGGTCGCGCGGAGCCGGTGCAAGAGCGCGAAAGCACATTCAGGGTGCTCAACATCGATAGTTGTTTAGCAACGACAATTTCGACGACGACGGCGACGGCGCCGCGGCCAGGACACGAGCGAGAACGAGGTCGCGCGGCGCAGGCGCGAGAGCGCGAAAGCGCATCCAGGGCGCCCAGCAACAATAACTCTGACTGTTTAGAGAACAACTGCGACGACGGCGGCGGCGGCGACGACGACGGCGATGACGCCGCGCCCCGCGACGCGAGCGAACGCGAGGTCGCGCGGAGCAGGCGCGAGAGCGCGAAAGCGCACGCAGGGTTCAACAGGGACTAGGGAAGCCTCAGGGCCCCCTCGGGTCTCGAATAAAGCAAACGAAAATATCGAGCGGGAGCGTCGTTGTTTCGCAGGGATCCCGGGGCGGGGGCGCCGGCCCTGGGGGGCGAGCGAGAGCCCCGGCCCCGAGTGAGAAACAAGGAAATACCGAGCCGGGGCGTTATTGTCGCTGTTGGGGGGCCGGTTTTGGCGGACCCCCGCGGCGCTTAAGCGCGAGCCTAAGTTTCAAAAAGAAACGCAGCCGGGTTCGACAACAAACAACAACAACAGCAACGACAATCATTTTAAGACCGTTCGCTCTTACTGGCGCGCGTGTCTTGCATTCCGTATACCCCAACCTTGGATGCCCGCCCACTTCGTCTTCGACTGCATCCCTTTTTCGTGGGGGGTCTCTTCCGCGTCGGCCACTGCCTGGAGTACGAAGAAGTCTCGAGCGAGAGCGCCGTTCCTCAGTTCGGGGGCCTCTCTGGCCAGGGGTTTTTGCCGTGCCTATGAACAAATATAGAACGGGAGTCCTTGTCGCCGTGTCCAGGCCTCCACCAACTTGCCTGAATTGCAAGGAAGTCTCGAACGAAAGCGCCGTTTATGAGTTCGGGCGGCTTTTTGGCCAGGGGCTCTCGGAGTAAATCGTGACAAGTATCGAGCAGCAGCCCTTGTCGTCGTGGCTAGGCCTCCGCCAACTTGATAGAATTGCGTGAAATATCAAGCGAAAGCGCCGTTCCTGAGTTCGGGGGCCTCTCTGGCCATGGTGTCTCGGGGTAAATTGTGCGGAAATATCGAGCGGGAACCGTTGTTGTCGTAGCTGGGCCTCCAAAGCCCCACATTTAGGCTCAATTCATCGCTCGAGCGGGAGCCTCGTTTTCAGAGAAAATGTCGCCGGCGTCGAGGCGAGCGCAACAACAACAACCGGTTTACCCTCATGCGCGATGTTTCCACACGAAGCATGCGACCATCCAGATAACCATCCACGTAATGGGGGACTCTTGTTTTATAGCGGGGTCCGTTATTCCCATTCCCAGATCTCCCGCCCAGTGAGGTCTTGCAAGCACCTCTTCCGAGGAATTTCAACATATCCCGCCTCGAAAACACATGCCCGCGCCTTGCTGCGCCGATGCGAGACCGCCGGTGGAACCCCAGCGAAAGGTAAAACCCCAAAAAGTATCGAACGACAGGATTGCCTTGGTGGGGATGGGGGCTGTCGGCGGTGAGGCAACGACTTGGCCCTGAATAGAAATGGAAGGCGTCTCGAGCAGGGCTGCTGTTGTTGGGAGCGGCGCCCATGCTGAATCATGCTGAAAAGAGTAGGGCGCTAGTCCAGCGTAAAACACAACGAATTCTTGAGCGGGATCGCTGGTTTTGTCGGGACGGCGGCGTTCGACGGCGAGGAGGAACACCGCCTTGAGTAAGAAAGGAGGAAGCATCCAGCGGGAACCGTGGTTTTGCCGGGACGGGGGCTGTCGGCGGCGAGGAACAGCACCGTCCCGAGGAAAAAGAAAGGAAATCTCGAGCGGGAGCGTTGTTCTTGCTGGGAACGGCGCCAATTCAAAAGAGAGTCGGGCGCCAGTCCAGCGTAAAACGGAAGGAAGTCTCGGGCGGGAGCGCTGGTTTTGTCGGGCCGGCGGTTATCGGCGGCGGAGAGGAACACCGCCTTGATTAACAAGGGGGGAAGCCTCGAGCGGGAGCCGTGGTTTTGTCGGGGCGGGGGTTGTCGGCGGCGAGGAACAGCACCGTCTTCAAGAAAAGGGGAAGACGCCTCGAGCGGGGGCGTTGTTCTTGCTGGGAGCGGCGCCAATTCAAAAGAGAGTTGGGCGCCAGTCCAGCGTAAGACGGAAGGAGGTCTCGGGCAGGAGCGCTGGTTTTGTCGGGGCGGCGGTTTTCGGCGCCGAGGAGGAGCACAGCCTTGAGTAAAAAAGGGAGGATGCCTCCAGCGGAAGCATTGTTTTTGTTGGGGGCGGCGCCGATGAGAGAAAGACTCGCGCGCCAGTCCAAGGTAAAACGGGACGAAGTCTCGAGCGGGAGCGCTGGTTTTGTTAGGACGGCGGCTTTCGGCGGCGAGCAAGAGCACCAACCCTGAGTAAAAAAGGAGGAAGTTTCGAACGTGAGCGTTGTTGTTGTTGTTGTTGTTGTCGTTGTTGTTGTTGTTGTTGTTGTTGTTGTTGTTGTTGGGGAACCGGTTTTGGCGGTCCCCCAAACCGCTCGATCGTGAGCCTCATTTTCAATGAAAATCGCCTCGGCGAGAGCGCCAGAGCGCCTTTAAGGTGCCCAACAATAATATTTGTTTAATAGTTAACATTCAACAACAACATTAGCAATGACAATAACAAGAACAACAACAACAATCAGTTTCAGATTGTTCGCTCTTACTGGCACGCGTGTCTTGCATTCCGTATACCCCAACCCTCAATGCCCGCCCATGTCGTCTTCGATTGCACCCCCTTTCGGGGGGAATCTCTTTCTTTTCGGCCATTGACTGAAGTGCGAAGAAGTCTCGAGCGAGAGCGCCGTTCCTCAGTTCGGGGGCCTCTCTGGCCAGGGGCTCTCGGAATACCTATGGAGAAATATCGAACGGGAGCCCTTGCCACCGTGTCCGGGCCTCCACCAACTTGCCTGAATTACGAGAAAGTCGCGAACGAAAGTGCCGTTCCTGAGTTCGGGGGCCTTTTTGGCCAGGGGTTCTCGGAGTAAATCGCGAGGAAGTATCGAGCAGGAGCCCTTGTCGTCGTGGCTGGGCCTCCGCCACCTTGATTGAATTGTGAGGAAATCTCGAGCGAGAGCGCCGTTCTTGAGTTCGGGGGCCTCTCTGGCCAGGGTGTTTCGGGGTAAATTGTGAGGAAATATCGAGCTGGAACCGTTGTTGTCGTAGCTGGGCCTCCAAGGGCCCACATTTAGGCCCAAGCCAACGCTCGAGCGGGAGCTTAGCTTACAGAGAAAATGTAGCCGGCGTCGAGGCGAGAGCGCGCATAACCGTTTCCGGAGATCAGCAACAACACTTACAACAACAACAACAACAACAACAACAACAGCAACAACAACAACAACAGCAACAAAAACAGTAACACAACAACAATTACAACAATCAATTTGAGACTGCTCGCTCTTATCTGATCGAGTGCCCGTTAGGGCGTTTTTCCCAAACCCTCGATACCCGCCCTCTTTGTCTTCGATCGTACCCTTGTTGGGGGGTATGCCTTTCTTCCCTGCAGGCTGGGCCCCGGCAAGCGGCGGGGCGGCCGCGGACCGTCCGCCTGGCCAGCGGCAGCGCTGATCGGCGGCAACCCGACCCCAAGAGGGACGGACAGGGGACCGACCACGACGACGACGACGACGACGACGTCGACGACGACGACGGCGACGACGACGACGACCACGATGACGAGCGAAAGCGAGAGCAAGAGAGAGAACGACAGCAGGGCCACGAGGGGCACGAAGTGGCCAGGAAGGGCGACAGCGGGGACACGAAGGGAATGTGTATGGGGCTACGATCAGCGCGAACGAGCGGGGGCCACGAAGGGCAAATAATGCGGGGCCACAGAGGGGAACGACGGGGCCACTAAGGGCAACAACTGGGCCACGTAAGACAGCGAGGATGCTACAAACTGCGACAGCGGGGTCACGAAGGGCATGCACATGCGGCCGCGACGGGCGCGAACGAGCGGGGGCCACGAAGGGCATGCACATGATGGCCGCGGAGGGCAAGGACAGGGTCACGAAAGGCTGCAACGGGGCTACGAAGGGCAGCGAGGGGGCCACGAGGGGCTGCAACGGGGCCACGAAGGGCAGCGAGGGGGCCACGAAGGGCTGCAACGGGGCCACGAAAGGCTGCAACGGGCCCACGAAGGGCAGCGAGGGGGCCACGAGGGGCTGCAACGGGCCCACGAAGGGCAGCGAGGGGGCCGCGAAGGGCTGCAACGGGGCCACGAAGGGCAGCGAGGGGGCCACGAAGGACTGCAACGGGGCCTCGAAGGGCAGCGACGGGGCCACGAAGGGCTGCAACGAAGCCACGAAGGAAGGGCAGCGAGATCCCGATTCCTAAGTACTCTGTGAGGGAGTTATAAGCGTGAGCGCGACTCCTGGGTGTCTGAGTGTCGGGGGCGCGGCGCTTGAGTACATTGCAGGACATTCCAACACAAGGGCGTTATGTTTGTGTAAATTGCAACCAAATCTCCAGCGAGAGCGCGACTCCAGAGCGCCGAGAGAGCGATCCTTGCATCGAGTGCAAGGAAGTCCTAAGCGAGAGCGCGATTCCTAAATAAAACGCGAGGAAGTCTCAGGCGGGAGCGGGGGTCCTGGCTAAACTGTGAGGCCAACAGCACAGTTTGAGTAGGAAGACTTTCCCTGATAAAAACTGGGTGCGAGCGCCGGGAGGGGCATTTCAACTGAAAAATACAATGTGCACCGGAGGGGGGTCAACAATATTTATTCTTCAGTACTGAGAATGTAACAACAACATCAACAACAACCACAACCACAACCACAACCATAACCACAACCACAACCACAACTACAACAACAACAACAACAGTCCGCACCGCGGAAACTAAGTTCAGCCACGCACCCACGGACAGGGAATGACCGTTCGGCCCTTCACTCTGATTAAGAAACTGCCCAGGTCGGGGGTGCAGCGCGTGGACTGCCCTGAAGAGCTGCAGGATCGGCTGAGCTGCGGGCCGCAGCTCTACGTCCACGATTTCGACAAGAGCTCGGGGCAGAGCCAGTTTCTGACCTGCGTGTGGCTCGTGCAGTACGTGGTCCTGCTATGCCGCTTCGCGGGGAGCTGGAGGGCAGATTGCCGCGCCCAGAGGAGGGCCCGCCGCGCCCGCCGGCCATGCTGCATTTGCACCTGGGCGAGCCTTGGGCGGTTCTGCCCACGTGCGCTGAGTTGGCGGGCGGAGGCGCCGCCGCCGCCGGCGGCGGAGGCGCCGCCAGCCCCTCCACCGCTGCCGTCGCCGTCGCCGTCGCCGTCGTCGTCGGCGTCGTCCTCTTCCTCCTCCTCCTCCTCCTCCTCCTCCTCCTGCTCCTCCCCCTCCTCCTCCTCCTCCCTGTATTCCTCATCCAAAATATGTCCCTGGCCCTACGTGTCTACAGGAGTGCCAGGAGGCCCCCGACGGCCTCCAAAGCACGACGACGACGACGACGACGACGACGACGAGGACAACGAAGACGACGACGGCGGCGGAGGCGGCGGCGACGACCGCAAGCCCGAGGCGAGCTCTTGCTGCGAGAGCTGTCCGTGCTGGTCCCGAAGAACTCCTATCCAGTTTCTGGGCGTGGTCCACGCGGGCACCGGGGTCTTCAGCGAGCTGTGGGCGATTCTATCTGACGCAGCAGGCGAAACAGGCCTCGCCATGTGGCCCTGGCTAAGCGTGCTGGAGCTGGAGAGCAACTTGCTGATCTCAGTGCTGATGCTCTTCTGGTACTCGTACATGTGCCACATCCTGGGCTGTGCAAGAAAGCGGCGCGTCTATTACATGGTCTTCTTTTGGACCTGCCTGGCGCTTGCCTGGGCTGGCTTCTACCTCAAGGTCAACATCATGCGAAGAAGCGTTCAGGACATGAAGCAGGTAGAGATGGACCCTGTGACATCAGTCAGCTTGATGTACTACATCATCAACTTGATACTCGAGGTGGTGTGTCTGTTTCAAGTGCTGAAGCTGCAAGGAGCGTTGAACCGAACGGGTGCGTATTCGTCGATCCTCAAGCGTGTGGTCGTGATCAATTTGGTCTCCGTGATAGCTTCATCGGCAATGTTATGCGTCCACATTGATCGAAGGTGCCTCCGGGGAGTCACCGCCGCCACTTGCCCGTCCAGACACGCACAGGGTAGCCAAATGTTGGGCCACACGTTGGCCAAGCTACTGAACTGTGCATTCATCCAGCCGGTGCGGAGACCATTCGGGAGCCATTTGGCACCGATATTCCACATTACGAAATGTTAGCCAGCGTGGGCCCCAAACAGTGATTTCTTGCCATCTATGCGGTGCAGTCCAGAGTGTGGAATCAATGTTGTGCAACCTCGGTGGTGCAATCCATGTGGTGCGGCCTCTGTGGCGCAAAGCAAAGCAGAGCAACGCAAAACAATGCAAAGCAGTGAAAGGCAATGCGAAGCAACGCGCAGCAATGTAATGCAACGCGTTGCAAACCACAACAATGCACAGCAATGCAAAGCAATGCGCAGCAGTGCAACGCAACGCAACGCAAAGCAATGCATAGCCATGTCCTGCAATGCACAGCAGCGCACAGCAATGCAAAACAATGCAATGTGATGCAAACCAATGCATAGCAATTCGACACAATGCAACACAGTGCAAAGCAATGAAAAGCAATGAAACGCAATACGATAGCAATGCAATGCAATGCGATTGCAGTGCACGGCAATTCCACTGCAATTGCAAAGCTATGCATTGCAATGCAACGCAAAGCGGCTACAATGCAGTGCGGTTCGAATGCAATGCAACGTGGGGGGTGCAACAGAGCGGTGGCGACAGACGGGAACGCGTCCGCTGGGCCCGCACACGGGCCTTTGATTGGGATAGATTATGCGGCGACGGACAGGAACGGGGCCGCCGGGACCTCTTGGGCACAGTTCGTTAGAAGATGAGAACGGACACTTAAAGTGCTATAGTTGTTTTGGGAGTACGTGTATGCTCACATATGTAGTAGACATACGTGAGTGTGAATCTTTATATGCACACATATATAAATAGATGCGTGGGCGCGCAGATCCTAGTCATACGTGTGTGCACATGTGCGTACACATTTTTGTATGTGTATCGGAGGTGAGGTGGTGAGATCGAAGTTGAACGGAGAGCCCCCCGACCAGGAAATCGATTTCGGTTTCGCGTTCGTGCGTGCCGTGCGTGCGGGCGAGGCGAAGCTGCGTGAGCGGGCGAGAAGAAAGTCTCCTGTGGCTGAGGCGCGGCCGGACCAAATTTCCCTTCCGGCAAACAGTGGGGCGCGGTGTCCCGCCGGTGTCGCGCCTCCGAGTGAGGCGCGGCCGGACCAAATGACTCCCTTCCGGCGTCCGGTGGCGCGTGGTGTCCCGCCGGTGTCCCGTAGGTGTCCCGATGATGATGGAGATGTCGATGATGTTGATGATGATGATGATGATGATGACGATGGTGGTGATGATGATGGTGTCCCGATGATGATGATGATGATGATGATGATGATGATGATGATGATGATGATGATGATGATGATGATGATGATGACGATGACGATGATGATGATGATTATGTTGATGATGATGATCAAGCAGTGGCGAAGCGTCCCGGCGTGCCTATAGCCATACCAAACAATGTTCTAAGAACCTGTTGTGGTTTCCACGATATGTTCTTAGATCATTTCTTGCTGGAACTGTCTTGTTTGAACGCATGAGGCTTATGTTCTAAGGAAACTGTTTTGGTTCTTAGAGCATTTTTGGGTTCTAAGAACATGTCGTGGTAGTACCATAGGAATGCCAGGACGGTCGGTCCTTTCTCAAGATGATGATGATGATGGTTATGGTGGTGATGATGATGGTGTCCCGATGATGATGACGATGATGATGCTGATGATGGTGTTACTGATGATGATGGTGTCCCGATGCCGATGATGATGTTGATGATCCTGGTAATGTTGGTGATGAGGTAATGATGAGATGATGATGGTGATGATGCTGATGAAGATGACGAAGATGGTGGCCCGATGATGATGATGCGGTTGATGCTGATGTTGATGATGATGGTGATGATGATGGTGCCCCGATGATGATGATGCTGATGATGAGGATGATGTTGAGATGATGATGATAATTTTGATGATGGTGGCCCGATGATGGTGATGATGATGATGCTGCTGTTGATGGTGATGATGGTGTCCCGATGATGATGAGGAGGATGATGATGTTGACGATGATGGTGATGACGATGATGGTGTCCCGATGATGATGATGAGGATGCTGAGGGCGATGATGAGGTGATGATGATTTTGATGATGATGGCGGCCCCATGATGGTGATGATGGTGATACTGATGTTGATGATGATGGTGTCCCGATGATGATGATGATGATAATGATGATGTTGATGATGATGACGATGACGATGATGATGGTAACCTGATAATGATGATGATGATGATGATGATGATGATGATGATGATGACATTGATGATGGTGATGTTGCTGATGATGATGGTGCCCCGATGATGATGTGGATGATGTTGTTCATGATGATGGTGATGAGATGATGGTGATGGTGGTGTTCCGATGATGATGGTGGTGTCCCGATGATGATGTTGTTGATGATGATGTTGACGATGGAGGTGTCCCGATGATGATGATGCTGCTGCTGCTGATGATGATGACGGTGATGATTCTGATGATGTTGATGATGCTGGTGGTGAGTTGGTAATGATGATGGTGTCCCGGTGATGATGATGATTTTGATGGACGTTGATGACGATGATGTTGTTGATGATGATGATGACGTTGATGGTGAGATCGATTGTGATATCGATAGTGAGATCGATATTGAGACCGAATGCGAGATCGATAGTGGTATCAATAGTGAGATCGATAGTGAGATCGATTGTGAGATCGATAGTCAGATCGATTGTGAGATCGATCGAATGAAATAGATCGAGTGAGATCGATTGTGAGATCGATCGAGTGAGATCGATCGAGCGAGACCGATAGTGAGATCGATAGTGAGATCGACAGTGAGACCGATCGAGTGAGACGTTGGTTCCTCCCCCCCGAACCTCCTTATCACCCAAAGGGTGGTCGTACAGGTAGATATGGAGAAAAAGAAAGAGAGAGAGAGAGAGAGACACAGAGAGAGAGAGAGGAACACAGGCATGATACACGTATGTAGTCTGACTCATGACTGATGCAGCCTCCTGAAGCGGTAGCTAGTGGACTGGAGCCACCGTGGCATAGCAGAGTCAGACTGTACTTCGCGCATGAACATGTGAATGTGTGGTGGGCATCTCGCGCCCGCTGAGAGACCATTCTGGGGGTGTCTGGGCCCCTCATCGCGGCATCAGGGGCCATCTCGGGGAGGAGGGTCTTAGGGCGGTTCGGATGCATCTTGGGCAAGAAACATGTCATTTTAGGCCGTGCTGGCGGCCTCTGAAAATTCGATCACGTTATCTTGGAAGCCTCTTGTGGCATCCTGGGCCAGCTTGTTGGAAGATATTCTGGATTCGGGGGGAAGTATCTCGGTGAACCCTCATGGAAGCAAGACCTGATTTATGTAGGCCCGAGTGGCCGCTTCCAGACACCCCCCTCTCAACTTCGGAATTGTTCCTGGTTCCTGCCCCACGAGGGGGCCTGGCGTTGGGGTGAAACCCTGTGTCAGCCGTAGGGCCCCTTCCCATCCTCGAAAAAAGGTCGATGACTCCAGCTTGTTGGAACCCTTGTTGGGGCGGTCTCTTCTGCCACTTCGAATATGTTTGAAAATTCCAGATTCGGTGAGGTCGGCGGCTGGGTGGCAGTCCTTGCTGGCCGCAGAGATTGATTCCAACTACCTCCCTCTCATCTTCGAAACCATTTACGACTCAAGCACTCATGGGGGGGGGCCGGCGGCTGGGCTAAACCCGTTGGTCCCTCGGGCCATAGCTCGATTCCCACCTCATAGTCGAAGCTGTCGATTGCTCCAGCTCGCTGGGGGGGGTCACCGTGGATGATTCCAGGTGTCAGTAAATTCTCCAAACAGCGTATGCATTTAGGAGTTCTTACTTCTGTTCTATGGAACTGGCCCTGATTGTGGGTCTGGCGGCTATGCTGTTGCCGTCGCCGCCCCGCCGCCTCGTCGCGGCTTTGCGTGACGTTGTATTGTCTTGTATTGTGTTGAATTGTTTTTTGTTGCTTTGCATTGCTTTGCGTTGCTTTCAATTGCTTTCCATTGCTTTGCATTGCTCTGCATTGCGTTGCCTTGCCTTGCGTGGCATTGCTTCGCATTGCGTTGCATTGATTTGCATTGTTTTGCATTGCTTTGCCTTGCTCTGGATTTGCTCTAGTCCATTTTAATGTAAATGAGGTTCAAACAAAGTTCAGACACGGCTCAAACACAGCTGAACACACATCTCAAACAAAGCTCAACCATCGCTGAAACAACGTTCCAACAAAGCTCCAACAAATTTACAAACAAAGCTCACACAAAGCTCAAGCAAAGCTCAAGCAGGTGTCAAACAAAGCTCCAACAAAGCTCAAAGCAAATTCAAGCGAAGCTCAAACAAAGCTCAAGGGTCGTTGGGCTTGGGAGCCGCAGCCTATGGCCCTGGGCCCCGGCCCTGGGCCCCGGCCCAGGTCCCGGCCCTGAGCCCCGGCCCCAGGCCCCAGCCCGAGCTCCGGCCAGCCCTGGCCCCAGCCCTGGCCCGGACCCCCTCTCCTCCCCCCCGGGTCGAACCGGTTCGAGCCAGGAGGCGTCATTTTAAACTGGGGGGGGTGGGGGAGGGGAAATTGTATTACCCGCCCACCCACCCCTGGTTTCCAGGGAGGAGGGGGGGGCGGGGGGAGGGAATTCCCCAGTCAAGCAACAGTTGAAAAAAAACGATGGTTGTCTTAAGAATCCGCAAGAGCGCGCGCAGATTTTGTTTGAAAACTCATGTTGCGAAACCCATAGACTGTATTTGTTTGCGGGATACGGTATTTGAAAGATTTCGGCATGTTACCGCGACGACGCGGGCGTGTGCACGTCGTCACATTGCTGCAAGGGTTTATTTTTTAGGCAAATCTATAGTACAGGATACGCGAGTCTGCGCGCAACGTGTTTATTGCAGAGGATGAGGGGGGTGTTCGATGGGGGTTCGACTGGGGTGGTATGAGTTGATATATAAAACGATCAATGAGGCAGCATCAGATGCAAATTGAACACCCCCAGGGTGTATCGCTAGCGTCCAAAGCGACCCGCAGGCCCAGGCGACGGGCGGCGACGAGGCGGCGACGCGACCACATGGCGGCCAAAGCGGCTTGCAGGCCGAGGCGACGGACTTCGACGGGACGGCGACGTCAGCCACAGGGCGGCCAGAGCGGCCCGCAGGTCCAGGCGACAGGCGGCGACAGCGGCCACGTGACGGCCAGAGCGGCTTGCAGGCCCGGTTCCTTGAACCCGCAGGTGCAAGCATTGTCTAGGGAACTACATAAAGCCTGGCACGCCGTGCACCCCCGTGGCAAGCCACAGGGGTCGGCGGATCGAAGACGCCTACGGCGAATCACCGCCGCCCCCCGCTTTGCGGCCGAACGTTGTGGCCAGAGCTCGGACACGCTATCGGATTGTGTCCAAACCAACAGAAAATCAATGATGTTGGCCCCTTCGGGACTTCCTGGAGGACCTCTTGGAAGCCTCTTGGGTGGTCTTGGAGGCCTCTTGTGAGGCTCGTGGGGGCCTCTTGGGCCATCTTGAGGCCATCTTGGGCCGTCGTGGGTGCATATTGGGCCAACTTGGAGACGTCATGCGGCCATCTTACGCTGTCTTGAGGATCTTGGGCGTCTCGGAGGTCATCTTAGGACCATCTGAGGGGGGAGGCCAATGGAGAACGCAATTGGCGGGGCTTTCCTGGGGCGGCGGCGCGATCAGCTGAGACTCCATTGGGATTTTTTTCCAAAGGATCAACAATTACATGAAATGTGGCATGCCGTGCACCCCTGTGGCAAAGCACAGGAGGCGGCAGATCTAGTGACCGTGGGCCCATCTGGCCACCGTGCCTGGGTCGTAGACACGAGACTTTTTAGAGGCTTCTTGAAGTCTCTCGGACAGCCTCTCGGACGACTGTTTGGGCATCTTGCGGGTCTTTTGGAGGCTTGTCAGGGGCCTTTTGGGAACCTCTTGGGAGCAGCACCTCCCTCAACCCCTCGCACCCCTTGAAAAGTAGCGGTGCAGCTGCATAATTTCAAACTACATATAAGATACGACGCCGAGGGCCACCACCCCTTTCCCAGGTCATTACCGCCCCCCCCGCCAACCCTCTGGAGGGCGGAATGAGAATTAGGAGGTCACATCGACAAGGACGTACACGCCTCGAGCCGGCTCACACGCGCTCGGCGTGGAACGGTCTCGCGCGAGTGGAAGTACTCACTCCGACAGGGAATGGCGTGAAACAGTTACTGCACGAATGGCCCAAACAGGCATTGCTGGAACAGCACATGCAGAACCACTGCGTATTTTTCACTGCCCTAGGGTTCCGCAGAGGGGACGGCGGATCAGGTGCAGAAGTTCCTGTCGATTTACGTGGATGGCTGGCATTCTTGGACAATGGGCTTGCTCTTCTTCATTCGGTACGTGAGCGTATCACTCTTGATCGAGGACGTGTCGAAGTGTGACAGAGTGAATCGTGAGTCTGAAATTCGCAGCGCTCTTCATTTCGGACACATCGAGGCTCTCCAGAGCTATCAGTTCGGGCATGGAAGTGCCTTGATCATCAGCAATTCACAATATCCAGAAAGCGGCAGATACCAGCCTCTGACAAATACCGTCGATGGGAATAACTACGCGGATGCGCTTGAATTCATAGGATTCGAAGTGTACAGTAGAGGCACATCCGGGGATCCGCATTGCGATTTGACCGCGACCGAGATGGCCCGCCTGTTCGAAGAGTGGATTAAGCACGCGATTCAGAACGAAGTTGATGCCATCGCCTTCGCTTACAGTGGCCATGGTGAGATGGACGCCATCGTGGGCGTGGACGGAGCCTCTCTACCCATCCCGACATTGATGAACATGTCTTCGAACGGGGATCTGTCGGTCCCGAAGCTTTTCTTCTTCGACAGCTGCCGGGGAAACTCGACGGAGACTCGGCGTCCCAGTCGTAACGAGGTTAGCTACAGCAAGATTCTGCGGTGCAGTCCACACGGACCTTCCGCCCTGGCGGACTGCTTGATGTGCTTTGCAACGGCTCCGTATTTTCGAGCCCACTCGGATGCAAATGGAGCGGGCGCGTTCTCGAAGATCCTGTGCCACTATGTGCGGACCCTGGCGGAGAGCGGAGACCATGACGTGGAAGATGCCATCAAGCTGGCGAGCGAGGAAGTCAACAAGCAGCGGGTCGGGCGGTGCAGGATGCAGTGCCCCACCTACGAGTCGTCGCTGACCAGGCGCTTCGTGATGCGGAAGCGCGCGGACCTCGTGGGGGTCTCGTCGTCCTACACGTTGAGCAGCGCCGGTGCGTCTCGCACACAGTTGACGGAGGTGTCGCCAGTTCGGTCGCCCAGCTCGCCTGCCGTTGCTGACGTCGCTCGTGGACCTGTTGCCCCTCACGGAGATGAGCATGACACTGCCGTTCCGCAGGCTGGCAGTCGCTCAGATGGTTTCCTCCGTGCCGTGGATCCTAGTGATGGTCACCCACTTGGAGGTATCTGCAATCAAACTGTTGCTGACCCCCAGCGCGAGCGTGACACTCATGCCTTCGAGACCACGGATTAGAGGTTTTGCACCATGGGGACAGAATCATTGGAAGAGCGCCTCCGTGCGGCAACCATGGCCGACCCGACTGCCGCCTGGTCTGCATGTGTGGTGCCAAGTACAGATATAGCGCCCCCCCTCCTGATCGCGCGCTGGGGCTTCCGAGTCTTTCGCCCCCGTCCTGGTCTGGGGTCGATCCAAGCATCCCTCTCCGCCAACTGTTTGAGCTGCATTCGGAGCGCAGGCGCGAGTGCAGACACGTACACACGCGCGTGCACGTGCGTCTGACCTGTCTTATGCGATATAGATGTATATATATATATATATGTATAGAGATAGAGAGATAACAAAACAAAGAGCGCGTGTAGTTCTCGGAGAGAGACATTATGGCGGATTCCAGCCCATATCATGTGGTACACGTGGGCTGGTTCAGGGCGCGTATCCGCTGTTTTGACAACATTGGGCCCGCAGAGCGGGAGTCATGGCGGGACCCTCGGCGTAGATTCGCACGCAGATGTTGCAACCAGTGAGTGTTCAGGAGTACGATTCCTTCGAGAGTCGGCACCACTCGTTGCAAGGTGTACTGGAGCCATCTTGCCGTTCCTTGGGGAGTCGCGATGAGCAGTGTTTGCTAGCTAAGGGTTATGATGTTCCAACCTACTTCAGCCTTGATCACCAGAAAGACTTTGGAGCACCAGAGAAGTACCGAAACTTCAATGTTTCCACGTGTCGGGCCCTGGGAGGCGATGCTCGTTCGACACTGCTTCGATACTTTCTTGGGTGTTCGACATTATGTTTGGGATGTGGTCCTCAAGTACGATGGAGCAACATATAGGGGAACAAAAAGTGGCATAAAGATCAAAACTGGGAGGTCCGCGCAAATTCCTCAGATCGGCGATGGGGCCCCCCAGCGGCGCATCCGGCACCGCCCCTGGAGCGCTCCGCGCGCCAGGGAAGGGGGTCCAGCGCCGATGCGAGAAATCCGCGCGGACCTCCGAGTTTCCATGCTTTTGTCACTTCTTGTTCCCCTAGCATGAGCTAAGGGCCTCGGGGGGGCACGAGGCGTGAAGGGCGTGCCGCGCTGACCTCTGCCTTGAGCTCCCTGAGGGGACCAGCGGAGCGCCGCTGCAGAGAGGCGCCGGGCACGACGTGCGCAGGTGGAGCGCCGAATTTGTTTTCAAGGCTCCTCGGAGCCGCACTGGGAGGAATTCGGGAGCCTCTGCGCAAGCATGGTTCACAAGGTGCGAGAGGCATGTGAGAAGTTTCAGTCAAGGGAGGAAGAGCCACCTGGACCCGACAATTGGCTCTTACTAAATTGCCTTAGGCGTTTACTAAACAGCGCTGCTCTTTTTGATTTCTTTTTTGGGTGCGTTTACTATTAAAAGACTTCTCGAGAACCTCTGCGCAAGCGCGAGGCTCGGGCAGTGGCGAAGCGCCCCAGCTTGCCCACAGGCCCACCAAAGAATGTTCTAAGAACCTTTTGTGGTCCGCACGCACTGTTATTCGAACATTTCTGGCTGCGACTGTCTTGTTTTAACACATCGGGCTCATGTTCTAAGAGCATTGATTTTGTTCTTAGAACATTTTTGGCTTCTAGAACATGTCGCGGTAACCCTTAGGAATGCCGGGACGGTCGTCCCAGCTCAAGAGGCACAAAGTGCGAGAGGCGTGTGCCGAATTTCAGGTGATCGCAAACATGGATCAATGGGGCGTGGATGAGCGACGGGTCCCGTGTCCATGAGAAATCGCGGATTTCCGCCGCCGAACGAGGGGGCACCGGCCGTATTTTTGGGGAGGGCACCTCCCCCGATCCATGTTTGCGTGCCCCCGAGAATTGCCATACTCGTAGCCGTGTGAGCGCCAGTCCATGATATTTCGTGTGTCCGAGAAGTATGGAAGCGCAGATCCGCAGTGCCTTACGTGTCCCCGGGGCCAGGGAGCATGCAGAGTTCGTAATTCTTGGGTGTTCGGGGGTGCTGCTTCGACGAGGGTCGGCGGTTTGGGGAGCCTCCTGAGGGCATACGGGGTCCCATGAGACACGAAATGCGTAAGGGGTGAGGCACGAAATTCATAGGCCAGCTGAGGGCGTTCAGGGTCCATCGGGCGCGATATGCGTGAGGGGTGTGCCGACTTGAGGCTCCCATGAGCCGTCTTGCAGGGCCAGCCGAGGGCTTTTGGGGTCCGTGTGGCTCGAACTGCGTGAGGAATGCGCCGAGTTGAGGCCCCCTTGAGCGGCCTCGAAAAGCCAGCTATGCGTCTCTAGAGGTCCACGATTCACGAACTGCACGATGGGCGTGCCAAAGTGAGACTCCCAGAAGAACAGCAGCACGAATTTATTAGATTCTCGCGTGTACCATAAGCGTGGGAGCGCAGATGCACAGCTTTCCACGTGCCCTAGGAGCTCAGCAGCGCAGAACACTCTTATGCTTAGCTGTCCCAGGGTAGTGGCTGCTCGATTGCGCGGAGCCGCTCCTAGCATGTGTGTTGCATGATGCTAGCCAGCGTGGACCTCATACAGCGTTTCTAGCAAAACACTGGCGACATCGATGTGAAGAACATCTGTGGTACAGTATATGTGGTGCAGCTAATTTCTGTCCGAAGTGAGTTGTCCACTCCACTGCTCGCGCAAACATCCCACCCACCCACCCGCATCTTGGTTTGCAAAATCTCTTAAGACCGTGACGGTGGGTACCAAATGGCACTTGGTCACGACAGCGACACCGACGACGACAACGACGACGACGACGCCGACAACGAGTACGACGACACCGACGACGTCTCCAACGACTTCGACGACGCCGACAACGACGACGACGACGACACCGACGACGACGACGACGCCGACGCCGACGACGACGACGACGACGACGATGAAAACGACGACGACGATGACGACGCCGACGACGACGACAACGACGACACCGACGACCACGACGACGACGTCAACGACGCCGACGAGGACGACGACGACGACGACGGCGGCGACGACGACGACGCCGACGTCGACGACGAGGACGACGACGACGCCGACGCCGACGACGACGACGAAGACGACGACAACGTCGCGAACGAAGACGACGACGAGGGAGGAGGAAGGACGACGACGGCGACAACGACGACAACGACGACAACGACGAGGGAGGAGGGAGGAAGGACGGCGACGCCGACGACGACAACGACGAGGGAGGAGGGAAGACGACGACGACGACAACGACGACGACGACGACGACGACGACGCGACGAAATAGAAGGGACGACGACGAGACGCCGACGACGGACGACGACGACGACGAGGGAGGAGGAGGAAGGACGACCACGGCGACAACGACGACGGAAACGACCACGACGCCAAAGAGGACGACGACGACGAACACGAGGAAAGACAGAGGACGACGTAGGCGACGACGACGACGACGACGCGCGGAGGAGGGAGGACGGCGACGACGACGACGACGCCGCAAGAGCGCGCGCGCACGCTTTTGTTGAAAATCCGTGTTGCGAAACCTTGGGTTTTTGTTTGTTTTTTGGACGCACGATTTTGAAATCCTTCCGAAACCGATAGGTTTTGAAGGTTTCCGGCATACGCCCGCGACGACGCGCGCGTCTGCACTGCGTCAATTTTTTTGCAGTGGATTCTCGCGACGGCACACGCGCAAGGGCGTTCGACAGATTTCGACATGCGCGCGCGCGAAGCCCGTTTGGTAGCATTTTGTGAAAATCTGGAAAATCCAATGGTTTTCTGAAGATTTCGCAAGAGCTCGCGCGTAAGCGTTTTTTAGCAAATCAGTGTTGCGAAACCATGTGTTTTTGTTTGTTTTTTTTTTTTTTGGAAACGGCACCGAAGGTTTTTGAAGGATTTCGGCATGTGCGCGCGACGACGCGCGCGTGTGCACTTCGTCATTTTTTTTGCAAGGGCTTCGCGAACAAACGCTATGTTAGAACAACAAAAGTCACCGCATAGTGTTTTTTTTTTTACAAGGGAACCTCAGGGGGGGAACACGGTTTGGCTGGGATGTCACGATTTCATATTTAGGATGGACGAGTGTGCAAAACATATATATATGTATATATATATATACATTTACATATATATATATATATATGTATATATATATATATAGAGATGAGAAATCATATTATCCCAGGGGGACGCGATAAGTCCCAGGGGGGTGGGTAGAGTCTATTCTCTTTTTAGAAAAGGGGAACATAGACGCGGCGCAATGCAAATATACATGTAAATATGTGTGTGTGTATATATATATATGCAAACATATGTATAGATAGACTAATATGATGAGGCGTTCCAAAGAGGGCCTTGCCTTCGAGTATCGAAGGAGTTGGCATCTCTTCCGTGGCGGAAGGCGGCGGAAGGTCGGCGGAAAGGCAAGGTTGGCTGAAGGCGGCAGAAGTAAAACGAAGCCGCCTCCGCCAGCGGAAGCTGGCGGAGGCTCGGCGGGTGGTGGCGGAAGTAAAAAGATCACCCTCAAGAGATGACAACATTTTTGGGTGCAGGATTTTTGGGGTCGCCCACACACATATATATACACACACGCATATAGGGCCCCCCGCGATTTCCTGCGGGGCTAGTGGAGGCACCAGGCGGGCAGCACACGCCAGCCTCAGCGATGAGAGCACCACCGCGCTGTGCTCCCGAGAAAATGGCGCCATGAGGATGCGGACGTTCCTTTCGCTCGCCGCCTTCAACCCCTTCAGTCTGGTCGGAACACGTGGAGAGGAGGTCAGCGCAGAGCTACGACAGGTGCAGATCGTCGCATGTCCTGGCCCAGATATCCCGAAACACACCGCCAGCCCACACCACATCCAGCAGTATGAGCATCACATGGCCGTTTATTTTGGATACGGATATCGGACCCTTCACATCAACAGCTTGGCGGGCTCTGCCATAGTACTGAGCTCCAGGTTCAAGGCGGGACACATCAAGGATGCGTGCCCGCAGCGGGACATCTACGGAAGAGGAGGAGCCGTGACGATCGAGCAGGGCGCGACCAAGTTGAAGATCAGATTAGCGTTCTCGCCACCCGTGCCATGGGACAAAAAGAAAGTACCATAATACAAATCCACGGTGCACAAAGTGGCCAAGTATGTCAACGACGACATCCTCGCTACACCATCGCGCTTGACACCGGCATGCATGATGGACCGGGACGATCGATTTCAGAGCGGAGGGCGGCGACGAGACGGTGGAGCCCTTCCCGACAGGACGCGAAGGAGAAGCAGCAAAGCTGTACCACAATCGTCTTCTCAATGCATACATGGCCGTCGCCAACACGTACTACGACACGGGCCCCACCTACGATGGCCGACGCCCCGCAGTCACGGATTAGATTTGTTTGCCAATTGGCTTGGTATCTCGCATTCAGCAGTTCCGATTATGGAACTAGTCAGCCCGCGCCCTGCAGCTCAGCCGCAAATGCAAGGATCACAAGCCTTTGTTCATGAAAGTGGACGCCCCCCCCATCGTGTCACACAGAGGGCAAGGCGCACAAGTTCATCGACAAGGAGGCTGTGGCACTGGGTCTAACATAAGGACATAAGCGAGAAGAGTTCCTGACCAGCCTGGAGGACCAACTGACGATGCACGCCGAGCTGCTGGACCCATACTTGGACAAAGAGGACGGCACCTACCACTGGGGCTCACAATGCAGCGCTTCCGCGACGTAGCCTTGGAGCACTTCTCGGCCGACGCCAAGCGCCCACAATGGCACCAAGAAGCCCGCGAAGAGAAACGCCGCCAACTTCGGCAACGAGCAGAACTACGGGCACAAAGGACCCAAATGGAAGACGCGCAGGCCATCGAACAGGAGGTCGAGAAGCTGGACGAGACCATCCGCGAGATAAGCAAGAAGCTCAAGCACCACATCAAGGAGACCAACCGCAAGCATCAATAACTGCAATGCGACGGTCTATGGGGCGCCTGGCGTGATCGACGACTGGCCGAATGCCACCGCGTCACCGAAGGGCTGCTACGACACAACTTTCGAGCTCGCAAACGGTGCTACAGCGCCTCCCCGGGTTCCCGGCAGCGCGCAGCCCAACGGCAGCAATGTTTGGACCGACCTGGGGCCGGAGGCGGACTCCTGGCAGCCCCGGCCCCCGCCCACATCCCTGATCGAGACGATTTAGTACCGTGCCCAGTGGGCAGGGCCTCACACAATGCCCAGACCCAAGCGAATGGAATGCATGCGACAGGCGCGAGCGACGGTTTGATTCACGCATCTTTGAGTACATA